AAGCAGTCAAAATCAAAAGATAGAATGTCCAACGACTTCCAGGAAGAAGCTCGACTCATCGCCACATAGATTTGTCCTGGTGCAAACATGTTATGGTCTATAGTCAAGGTTGCACATGGCAGTGTTAGGCCTTGAGTCTTGTGCACTGTAAGAGCAAATGCATTCTGCAACGGAAGTTGATACCTTGATGCCGGTATGCCATTTATATTAAAATTTGCAGTGTTTTCTGAACGTTGATTTTCACCACATTATCAGTTGTTGGGAACGTAACTTCAACATTGTCATCATTAATAACTTTAGTTACCACTCCTATCGTCCCATTGCAGATGTTGTGCTTGAAGAGTTGGTTGTTCAAGAACATAACCCTCGCCCCTTCCTGGATTGTAATGGATTTTTGGAGATTTGTGTGATTTTTGAAAGGCAAGTTGTGCCCACCATCGATCCTCTCATGATTTAAAGTGTCAACTGCTAAGGAAACAACAGGATCAGAGCATCGGTCATCGAAAGGTAAGTGCTCACAAACGAAGGCGTTTATTTGGTCTGATATTTCACGGGTACTAACAACGTGGGTGGTGTTTATCATCACCCTGGAATTTTGAGATCTTTCTACCTTTTCATTGATCAACAATTTTGATTTTTGTGAGAGGTGCCCAAATCTCAACTCCTCGAGCAAATGGAAAAAATCCAAATCTTCCTTCTGTCGTTGTGGCCTGGACAAGAACAGAGGGAAAAACGCTTTCCACGCCGGCGAAAAGAAAACCTGTTCTCCATTCACGGGAGGCAGTTGGAAAAGATCACCAACCAACAGCACCGAAATTCCACCAAATATCTTGTGGCTGTTGTGCAATGAACCAAAAAGGTTACTCAGGAACAAAAACAGCTCATTGGAAACCATCGATACTTCTTCTATCACAACAGCCTTGATCTTCAGCAGAGCTTCTCTCGAGGACTCAGTACTTAGGGACAAGGACTGGTAGTGGCCATCTGTTTGTCTTATTCTCAAGGTTGAATGAATGGTCCTCCCACCAACGTTCTGTGCCGCAACACCAGTAGGTGCCAGCAACAGGTAATTGATTTTCTTTTTTTCAGCATGTCTATCATTTTTAAAGTCATGAATGTTTTTCCAGTACCTGCAGATCCGGTCATGAAGAAGTACGGATACTTGTTTTCGCATTCGGGGCCCCAAGAATTACAAAGCGTGTTGTATATTTTGTATTGGTCGTGATCAAGCATCAGTGTGGAGGCTGTTTGAAGAGAAGGCTTTTCCAACGAGATAAGCTGGTTATATATAACGTCCCAGAGATTGTTCTTTTGTAGATCTGTCAGGACGTGTTCAATCACTCTCTTGAACGCTTCAGAAAGTTGGAATTTGCCGGCAACGGAACTTTTTGATAATCTCAACACGGCCTGCTCGTACCTTATCGGGTACAGGCTTCTAAACCTATCCCTATAACTTGTAAATCCTCCTAGCAAATCAACCTCAGAGCGAACGGCATGTTTCATTATAAGATGCTGATAGAAAAACGGCTCTCCATCGTCAACATTATAATTCGTAAATCTCATGAGCAACGGTTTGGTCCTTTCAGCAACAAATCTATTTTTCAGATCTCTTGTCAAGTAAAGCTTGCAGGTTCTTCCCGGTGGACGACCCCCGACTTTAAATCTTTGAAAGTATTCAGGGTAAGTTAAACTTTCGAAAAGTTCATTACTTGGCCGATCAAAATACTTGTCTATTGCATCATCAAAATACGGTTTTTCCTCATCCTCATCCTCATCCTCCTCATCATCTTGTTGCTCCTCAATTTGCATGTGAACGGGCTTG